ACTGGCAAAAATCAACATGACCTCTACTGATGCAAAACTACGGATTACATTTATTTCAAAGTGGCAATGAAATACAACAGGAAAAAAAAAGTTTCCCTTGTTATGATGCTCAATGATTCCTTTATTTTGGTAAAACAGGACTATTGTCTCTTGCAATCTTTTTTTTGGTTTGTTTTTCCTGAAATGAATGCGTCAGGAAAGAAACCTTTCCAAAACAGTCACATTTTGCCTGGTTTAGTTTTTCAGAAGAGATGCCCAAAGTGTGCTCGGGGAAAGTGACGCTAGGTTTTTCCTCAGTGACTGCATAACCTCAAGATTCAGCTTCCCCCCTAGGACTTGCCTGAACACAATCTGATTCTCTTCACTGTGAACTCAATGGGAGATCTGCTAACATCTTCAGTAAGAGCAAAATTAGGCCATTGTCAACTGCTTTGGAAAATCCCACTTACAAATCTTAACTCTTTAAGGTCAATTTTCTATTAAACAAATTAAAAATGAAGTTATCACAAAAGTTATCAATTACTGCAAAGTAAGTAACTGAAGGAGCCGTACATTAAGGAAATAAAACTTTTGTTAAAGCACCAGGAGTTTCAACATCCAAAAAACAATGGCTGGATTTCCATCAAAACTGGCCAGACTCTTTTGTGCATGTAAAAATAAATACACACACGAAAATGAAATAAAATAAAAAAATCAAGGATTTTGTAAAAAAACAGATTATACATTTTGTACATCCATTTAAACACAGACATGTAGCAAGAGTTTAATTGTAAGCTAAATGTAATTTACCTATAACTACATCATGGCCATCAACCAGGCCTGCAGAGAACAGCTCCTGAGAAACGCCATCTGCCGTATCTGTCCAAAAGGTGAAATGAATAATTATTCATGTCCATAAAATAAAAACAAAAAACCCCAAAAGAAGTGTTTGAAATTTAAAATACCTACCTATATCTCAGTTTCAAATATTCACAGAAGTAGGTTTGAATTCAAAATGGTCTTCATTAGGAAACACAAACCCAACATGATTTTCCATTGATAATTTGCCCATCATCCACTGTACAACCGTACATACCCAAGATAACAATTTGAATCTTTATGAATCCTATAAAGATCATTATTTGAACACTGGCCTCTCCTTCATTATCTAATTAGGAATTTACTTAAAGAAAATAAAGCTGGGTTTTCTGCCATGTGTCCTGACATTCTTCCTAATCCCCACGGTACTAGGGCTTGGTATTTGACCAATGAAAAAAATACTTGGTCAACTGACCAGTCATATATTATTAAATCATGATCAAGTATCCATTATTTATCCACTTGTGCTAATTACAAAAAAACAGGTTTGTTTAAAATTAATGTGGCATTGTGAAACAGTGAAATTAAAGAAATGTATGAATTATTATAACCAACAAAGTTGGTAAGTATAAATGTAAAATTCAGGACCAAGTTTTTGGTCGTAGCCATGTTGGTCTAAAGCAGGGGTGGGCAAAATGCGGCCCGGAGGCCAGATGCAGCCTGCCAGGCCATTCTATTCGGCCTGCAGGGCCCCTGAAACATTTAGAAAATTAATATTTATCTGCCCCTGGCTGACTGTCATGTGGCCCTTCATGGCTTGCCAAAACTCAGTAAGTGACCCGCCGTCCAAAATAATTGCCCACTCCTGATCTAAAGACATAGGCAGGCAACCTTTTTTGGTTAGATGTGATATCTTTTATTAGATCAGCTGAATAGTTGTAAAAAACGTTCTTAGCAAACTCTTGGGTGAAGTCACCCTTTGTCAGGCCCAGAGAGTCTCTGCTAGTTTGAGACTCCAAGGAATAAGAGAAGCTAAAAGTTTTAGCTTCTCTCTTTCCTTGGAGTCTCAGACCAGCAGAGACTACCTATGCCTGATGAAAGGTGACTAGATCCAAAACCTTGTTCTCCAACTACTCAGTTGGTCTAATAAAAGATATCACATCTTACCAAAGAACCTTGCCTGCCAAATTTAGTACTGAACAGTTCTTCTCTCCTTGGCTTTTATCCCAGAACCCTAGGGTCAGCACAACATCTACAATACAAAAGAAATCAAACAGAAATAAACCCACACATCACAACCATAAAAGACAAAAGTTAGCTTTTCTATGGTCCTGGGTTTGTCTTTCCCGCATCTCAGTAGCTCCTTTTAATAGGGGGAAGGGAAAGGATGAAGGAAATGCTCAAGGGAGAGGACAGCAGTGGGTGTCCGCTCCGAAATGACCTGTGTGTGTGTGTGGATCTTGACTCCTGCATAGCAGGGGGAAAAAGAGCCCTCAGATTTTGCTCTTGATAACACAGTAAAGAAGGTAGGCAGCCACTTATACGAGGAAATTCTGGGTTTTATGGAATGTGACCGTATTTGACCTTGGTCAAATAACAGGTGGTCAACTGCCCAGCTTGCCAACCCTCTCTCAGACCCATTCAACTCAATACAAGTGCTGTCTAAAGCTTTAATGATTTGTTATTCTTGGGGCAGACAGACAGGTGAGAGGTAAGTCCTTGCACTTAAGCTTGAGAGTCACAATATCCACAGTCCTTTAGACCAGAGATGTTGGTAGCTGTGGGACAGATATTAAAGGACAGATTCTGTTCCACTATCGAAAATCTACATGGATCACACGCACCTAAATGTAATTCTATTCCTCCCTGTTCAAGTCCCTGAAACCCCACATCACATCTGCTTTTGTAACGCATCTTATCCTTAAGACTGAGTCTCAAAAAAAAGCAAGCCAGTAGGTGAAAGACCTCACCCACCTTCTGTTAAAAGTTTTTCATGGACTTGAGCAGAGTGGAATAGGGCTGCACTTAGGTGCTTTTACCCACCTACAAACCTAACAAAATCTGGCCTTAGGAAAGATGTCCTCAGGTCTCACAATTTTTATTCTTTGGGTGTGGCTGCTTCACTCCAAAGAGTTCAGCTGCTGTAAAGAGCCAGAGCTGAGGAAGCAGAGATGGTGCCTAAGTCAGCCCCAACTTCGAAGCTTAGAATTACAATGCTATGTTGGGTCTTTTATATAAAAAAGGGAGGAGGTTGGATCAGACTAGAATACTGGGATGATGTGATCCTGTCCCCTATTACAACAATTCTCATCCAGGGTACCACAGCATGTTAGGGTGCCTTGAGATCCTTTTAAGGGTGTTATTGGATGCCATACAATGTTAGCAATGTTGGTGTGCAAACATGATTCACAGAGATTTTGAATACGAACTCACAGTGTTAAAACGATTCTGCCCTGTTATGGTCTTTTAAAGTTCATTGCAATAGAAGAATCATTGTTATTTTTCTGTAGTCTAAAAATGAGTGAAACTAAGAGCTGGAGTTTTTGAGGGATGCCTCGAGTCTAAAAATGTTGAGAATTACTGATCTAGTGTTTGTCTGGATCCATACACACAAACATGTCCCTCTACTCCTTCCCCTCCCCAGTCACCGTACAAAAAAAAAAAAAGACCTCTTACTTATGTTATCATTACAGCTTTCTCAACTTGGATTCATTTTTGGACAGAAACACTTTCAAAAGCATCTTTAACGGAGTAAAAAGGACTATTGTGAAATATCAGGTGCAGCTATGGCCCAACGCAACTGCAATACAATAGATCAACTTCCTCTGTGTCATATATCCAAGTAGTATCTGCTTCTCTTTTCAGACAAAGTAAGTTTCATGGCTTCTTATACCAGGTCGCACTGGAAAACCAATACAACTCTGCAAGAATGAGCTAGATTCTAAAGTCCCAACATCAGAAGCTTTATTTCTGACAAAGATACAGCCAGAAAGATAATTCAAGTTTTTTTTGTTAAAGACGGAGTTTGTGAAATGCTTTGTGAAACTCTTCTTACCTGTTAACTCAGCAATTTTTTTAGGAAAGTCAGAGACTCAAATGCAGAACCCTACAGTGACATCTTTATAGTCATTTTTCAAACCATAACCCTTACTTGCTTTCAGGATATTATATTCTGTTTTCCAAACCTTGCACTATGATCACTTATTTATTCCTCCACCATAAAAAATGTGCATTTGACTCTCTGATTCTTATGTATCACTCAAAGTGATCTATGTACAGAATTTTTCATTAAATGAACAATGTGAAACTGACAAATACTTCTCTATCTATATACAATCTTATAATATATACTGTATACTATACAGCTTTGTTACTAAAATTTATATACTCTGGAAAATTTTTGTTCAGGTTAAGTAGCAGCAGAGAAAACACTTCAGAGTGGTGATTTATATTAACTATAAACAGTAATCAATTTTTGAAATACCCTTTTGAGCAATATAAGAATAATTTCAATTAAAGAAAAGCCTTACCTCTGCCTGGAGTAAACTCAAATCGTATGTCATTAAGTTCCTTTCTAGAGTTTCTGGAAAAAAAATGCATCAAACACATTAAAATGTAATGAAGCACAGTACCCAAGAGGGACAGAGA